CAAAGTCCGAGCGCTGCCTGCAGTTGCTGGCCTCTGAAGCCGCTTGTCATCTGTGACGAGCCCTCCCTGCTCTTTGTTTTAATTAGAGAAGCACGAGTTCACTGGATCACACCCCACGTGCCCCCAGCAGCTGGCACTTGACCAGGCTAAAGCCGGGAGAGACCCAAATACTTGAACCTGTTGCCTCTTTGGGTGTCCAGTAGCAGGAAGCTGGAACTGGGAGCAAAACTGGAACTTGCGCCCAGGTGCTCTGATGGGGGACACGAGCGCCTAACCCGCTGAGCAAGCGCCCACCCCTCTTGACCTTTTTTTCTTGCAGAGACCAGAAATCTGTAAACTCCTCCCCCTCTGAGTCTGACCCAGGCCTGCTCACGTGGACACTCCTCTCTCACCACACTTCCCGTGAACTGGTGGAAGCCTAACCAGATCAGGTTCAAGGTTATCTGATGAAAACATTGCACAAGCAGGGTTGTGCTGGCCCTATTGCATCACAGTAGGAGGTACAGAATGTCTTCTTCAAATTTGATTTATTTACTTTCACTTTCCTTGAAAGGTAGAGAGACAGAGAGATCTTCCATCCACTAGTTCATTCCCCAAACGCCCACAGTATCAGGAATGGGGCCAAGCCAAAGCCAGCAGCCAGCAATTCAGTCCCTCTCTCCCACGTAGGTGGCAGGGGCTCCCTGAGCCATCGCCTGCTGCCTCCCATTAGCAGGAAGCTGGATCAGAAACGGAGCAGGCACTCAGATACGGGATGCGTGTATCCCAAGAAGCATCTTAACTGCCACACCATGGCGAACTTGTAAAATTCAACCTCCTCTCTAAAGCTCTCATGTGCATTTCTTTCTATGGATCAACCTCCAGAACTCGTCCAGGTGGCAACGCACACCTCACGCTGGCCTTGTCTCGAGGGAAGTGATTCTCATCTCTGCCCACTGAGGATCACTCAGTGTGGGTGGGGTCTGAGTCGTCCCCACCCCTCCCCTCATTTTCCCGGAGCCCTTTGCTCCCGGTTGCACCCGCCCATTCCCCTCCCTTAAGCAACCTCACGAGCAGGCTTGACAGATGTCCTTGAAAACATGCAGATCCTTGAAATGACATACGCGAAGTGCAGGCAGGCTTTCAACTCGAGTCAGTGTGCTGCTCTAGACTGCATTCTGGTCCATACTCCTCGTGCAACGCCAATTTTAGGTCGATTCATGTTGCTGTGTGTGCATCAGGCTGCTGCTTCCCACAGTGGCCAATAACCTGCCAGGCACACTGGCGCCCGATGCGCTCAGGGCGCCCCCCGAGCTGCCTCCAGCCCCTCACTCCCTGAACAGCACCACGGTGGCCATCTTCAGCCTCCACATGGAACCTGTGGGAGAATTCCTCCAGCGTGTAGGATTGCAAGAACCACGACGTACAAGCATTCGTAATTTTACCAACTATGATCCAGTTCATGCTTCCATCAGCAGCACATAAGAGTCTCCTTTCTGGGGTCAGCGTTTGGCGCAGTGGCTAAGATACTGCTTGGGACACCCACGTTCCATACCTGGGTTCAAGTCCCAGCTCTGCTTCCAATCCAGCTTCCTGACAATGCACGACTTGGGAGGCAGCACGTGGGAGACCCAGGACTGAGTTCCTAGTTCGTGGCTCCTGGCTTTCAACCAAGGCCTAGCCCTCACCATTGTGGGCATTTAGGAAGTAGACCAGCAAAAGGGGGCTCTCTCCATCTGTCTGTCTCTCACCATCATCATCATCTCTTTCTTTCTAAATAAATAAATATTTTAAATTACATTAGAAAAAGATTCTCACTTCCCCCACATCCTTGCCAGCATTCAGCTTCCTCTTAAGTTTTTGTTTGTTTGTTTGTTTAGATTTTATGTATTTGAAAGTCAGAAACACAGAGAGAGAGAGAGAGAGAGAGAGAGAGAGAGAGAGAGAGAGGTCTTCCATCTGCTGGTTCACTTCCCAAATGGCTGCAACAGCCAGGGTGGGGCCAGGCTAAAGCCAGGAGCCAGGAGCTTCTTCTAGGTCTCCCACATGGGTGCAGGGGCCCAGGGACTTGGGCCATCCTCTGCTGCTTTCCCAGCAGCATTAGCAGGGAGCTGGATTGGAAGTGGATCAGCCAGAACCATGCATGTTAGACCACTGATGTTCCTGCTGGCCGATCTGCCTGCCTATGCCTGTCGCACTTTCTCTAACAGGTACTCTATCTGTTCCTTCTTAAATTTCTTATTTATTCATGTCATTAGAAAGGCAGAGAGACAGACAGAACGAGATGTCCCCTCCGCTGGCTCTCTCCCCAGGGCCCGAGCAGCCGGGTCTGCCCTCTGCCCTTCTCCGCTTCGGGGTCTGGAGGCTGAGCTGGCATCAGGTGGCCCCGCACCCCCTGGCTCCCAGCCCCAGCAGGGACTGAGAGGGCGGAAGGAGGAGGTGAGGATGTGACTCCCCCAGCTCCTTCAACCAAAGGGCAGACATTGCAGCTCCCAGGACCAGCGTCGTGCTGTCCAGGGAGTTGGATTGGAAGTGGAGCAGCCAGGACTCGAGCCAGCACCCATATGAGACGCTGGCATCACAGATGGCAGCCTAGTCCACTGCCCCACGTTGGCCCCTTCCCCTTTGTCCTGGATGGGATGGGTCATGGGCAGAGTGGGGCAGATACCTGGGAATTCGGGGCAGAAGACCTTATCAGAAATGGGAACTGAACCTTTGCCCCGCGCTTTCTTGGCATTGTGTAATTCTTTTTTGTTCTCTTGATTATTCTCTGTACTTTCTAAATCTCGTACACTAATAGGTTTTGCTGATGTTAAGCCATCTCTGAATTCTTGGCACATGCACTACTGGAACGTGTTATCTCTTAATACGCTGTTTGATTGGATAAGCTCATACCTGAGACAGGAATTCTCCATGGCTGGTGATTACGGTGAGAATTCTACCTTTGAGGTTCGTGAAAACCTGCCTCATGGCCCAGTATGCATGTTCTCCAGCCACGATGGTGCCGTCAGCCAGCAGGCACCCGAATCCTTACCGAGAAGCCTGCCTGACCTCCTCCGCCTTGCCTCACTCAGGGTCCTGGTCACGCTGGCCGGCTGCCTCTCTCCTCAGCCACCTCTCTCCGTGGGAAGTAAAGGGGGCAGCCTGGCTTGTTTTTGCTAAGCTGTCTGGGAGGTGGCCAGTGGGGTTCCCCATCTGGGTTTTTTTAATCATTCCCCTGATCTAGAACAACGAGATGACACCAGCGGTCATCCAACGCGGCCCGAAGCTCCCCTGACCCTGTCCAGGTCATCCACACCAACTCCTCAGACCCATTTCCTCCAACATCCACTCTCTCCTGGGAAAGGCACCCTGCTGGCTGCTGGCTGTGGCATTGCCTGCCCGTTCCAAGGAGTCCACCTTGGCCTTGTCGCGTGAGGTTTGAAGGGCCTGGTCATCTCCAGGTTGTCATCTAAGAGACCAAGGCTACTTTCAGCCTCCAAACCCGATTGGCTCAAGGCGGGGTCCCCCACCAACCACCTCACTGTTAATTCGCAGGTGTGGTTGTCCGTTGCAGCGATGTGGCTGCTGGAAGCCAGGAAGAGAGACGTGGCTCACACCGCTAGGGGTCGCTGCCGCCACCGCGAAGGCCTCTAATCCGCCTTGGGGGCCAGGGGGCGCTATGGGTCCAGGGGGAGGGAGGAGGAAGGCAAGGCTCCCAAGGGGTCTAAGTCCACCCGTGAGCAGAACAGGAAAATCTGGATTTTTCATATTTGCAGTTTGTTTGTTTCTAAAGATTTATTTGTTTGAAAGGCAGAGTTAGAGAGATCTTCCATCTGATAGTTCACTTCCCCAAGTGCCCACAAGAGCCAGGCCAAAGCCAGGAGCCTGGAACTCCATCCAGGCCTCCCAGGTTCGTGGCAGAGACCCGTGCGCTTGGGCATCATCCCCTGCCTTCTCAGGCACATTAGCAGGGAGCTGGATGGGACGCAGTGCTGCTGGGACTCGAACTGGCACTGAGACATGGGATGCTGGCGCTGCAGGGGGGGTCGTGCCCCGCAGTGCCTGCCCAGATACCTTCCTTTTCTTTTGGGCGATTTATCTGGCGGTTCTTTTCCACACTTCCTTGTCTTGTAACACCTGTGCTCTCTCCTGAGCGCTGCTTCAGGCCGCCCCACCCACCCACCCACCCACCCAGTGTATGCTCTCACTGCTCAGTTCTAAACGACTTTTCCCCCCTATGGTTTTCTCTTAAAATTATTGAGAAAACTGTCCAGTGACGGGTCTATTTTCGGCTTCACTTTTGTGTTCATTTCTGACTTGGTCGTGGTCAGAGTAGTTCTCCTCTTGAGGTCCCATTCATGCGTGAGCACACTGCCAGTTTTTGTTTGTTTGTTTGTTTTTTGACAGGCAGGGTGGACAGTGAGAGAGAGAGAGAGAAAGGTCTTCCTTTGCCGTTGGTTCACCCTCCAATGGCCGCCGCGGCTGGCGCACCGCGCTGATCCGAAGGCAGGAGCCAGGTGCTTCTCCTGGTCTCCCATGGGGTGCAGGGCCCAAGCACCTGGGCCATCCTCCACTGCCTTCCCTGGCCACAGCAGAGAGCTGGCCTGGAAGAGGGGCAACCGGGACAGAATCCAGAGCCCTGACCGGGACTAGAACCCGGTGTGCCGGCGCCGCAAGGCGGAGGATTAGCTTAATGAGGTGCGGTGCCGGCTCAGAGTAGTTCTCCTCTTGAGGTCCCATTCATGGTGAGCATACTGCCAGTTTTTAAGGAGCTCCTATGCTTCTGCAAAGTGCTCCTCCGCTCGCCCTGACCCCCGCCTTGGCTGTGGGTGCCGTCCGCTGTGGGCTTCTCCCCGGCGCCGGCTCCCCTCTTCCCTCCGCCGTTGGTGGGTTCCTGCTTGTGTATTTGTTGCAGTGCTGGGGATGCTGCTCTGCTAACCATAATGAACGTGCAGACACCAAAGAGCTTCCTTCCAAGTTCCCAAAGCACACAACCAATCGGGGTGGTTCCCCCACGATGGTCTCCAGTCACAATTCCATTTTTTTTTTTTTTAAGATTTATTCATTGATTTGAAAGGTAGGCACACAGAGACAGAGAGGGAAGAGAGAGAGAGAGAAATCTTCCATCTGGTTTGGTTCACTCCCCAAATGGTCACAATGGCCTGAGCTGGGCCTGATTTGAAGCCAGGAGCTTCTTCCAGGTCTCCCACATGGGTGCAGGGGCCCAAGCACTTTGGCCATCCTCCACCGCTTTCCCAGGTGCATCAGCAGGGAGCTGGATTGGAACTGGAGCAGCTGGGACGCAAAATCAGTTGCCGAAGACAGTGGCTTTTCCCACCACGACGCCAGCCCCAACAATTGTGTTACAGCTGAGACACAGAGCAGAGACGCCTGCCCAAACAGTACACTGTGGATAACAAAGCTGGCTCCTAACCCGGGCACCCAGTCCTGAGCCCCACTCAGTTCTCTTTGTTTAAACCACTGATTTATTTATCTGAAAGACCGAGTTACAGAGACAGAGCGAGACCTTCCATGAGCTGCTTCACTCCCCAGACGGCCACCATGGCCAAGGCCAGGAGCCTCAGATGGGAAGCAGGGCGCTGAGGGCTCCAGCGGGCGTCAGAGCCTTGGCTGCTCCCCACCCCCAGTCAGCTCTCAGGGCACCTCCCAAAGCTGGCAATCTTCTTCAGGGTCCTAGGCCCCCAAAACCAGGTAACGCAGAACGGCTACGTTTATTTCTCTCTCTCTAACTCTAAAAAATAAGTGTTGGTGACAATAACCTGCCAACTACAGAAAGAGCCCGGGGCGGGGTCAGATCTTCTTCCACAGCCCTTAAAATCCTAGAGGGTCGTCCCCAGGATGGGGAGGAGCCCCGGCCCCCGCGGCAGGTCGAGGCACCCAGGAAATAAATTAGCAGGGAGGGGGCGCCTAGGCAGCCGGGCCCAGCTTCGTCTCGCAGACCCAGCGGTAGGGTCGCTGGCACATATCGTCGTTCCAACGGCCGTCGTTGGTGAAGTGGGCGCAGTCCTCCCCTCCTCCCAGCCCGTGCCCCGACCAGTCGTCCGGCTGGCCTGGTCTCCAGTTCCTGCGGGCGGACGGGAAGCCAGTGTGGGCCGCACGAGGTCTCACCCTCGGCCACGAGCGCCCCACCCCCACCCCGGGCGTCCGCGCACTCACTGGTAGCCGGCCTCGTAGTCGGTGCCGTCCACCCACTTCCAGACCCCATCTGGGTCGGAGAGGCCCATCCAGGTGTTCAGAAAACCTATGTGGTGCTCGATAAATTTCTAGGGGAGAGGGGAGAAGTGGCGACCTGTGCCCTCAACCTGCCAGCCCCCTGCCCTATGCCGGTCGAGCGCCTCACCTGCTCCTCCCGGGACGTGACCACCACCAGGTGCGCGTTCTCCAGCCGGCAATACCTGTCCGCCTCGGGCCAGGGCTTCCCCGTGCGCGAGAACCAGTAGCAGCTGCCCTCGTGCTCCACCCAGTTCACGGGGCAGCAGGTGCCCGCTGAGCCTGCGGGGGCAGAGCGCGGCTGAAGCCTCCGAGGCGCTCCTGGGAGCGGAGGCGGGGCGCGGCCGGGTGGGCCCGGACACCTGCGCGCTCACCATTGCCCTGGAGAGCCGCCATCTGACAGCTTAGGCTGCGCAGGTCGGACACGAACTGCTTCACGTGGAGCAGTAGGCTGGAGTGATCTGGGGCGAGGAGGAAGACGAGGTCATGGCGGGGAGTGTGGGGGTGGGGGGGTCGGTCATCCAGGAGCGGACACCCCTGCCACGGCCGCCTACGCCTCTGCCTCTCTCTCTCCCCTTCTCGCCCTCTAACCTTCCTTCAGGTCCTGCTGCAGTTTCTCCACCTCGGATTCCAGCGACTTCATCTTTTTCCCCACACTGTCTCCTGAGGGAGAGGCTGGCTCAGGGTCCGCACGACCCTCCCCTCCCCCGGCCCCCCAGCCTCCCAGCCCCCCAGCCCCCCTCACCCTTGGAGCTCAGTGCCGTGACTTCGGCCCCAGTGCTCGAGGTGAAGTTGTTCAGGGTCTCTTGCAGGGCCCGCAGCTCCTCCTGCAGCTGGGAGTCTGGGCAAGAGAGGGCACTGATGGGACCCAATGACCGAGCTGAGCCGCGCCACCTGACCCCTCTCACTGTTGCTCCCTTCGCTGCCCACCCCTGGGCACCCACTCTGGGATCCGATCACACAGACAACCACCAGCAGCAGGAGGCTGAGGCCCAGGGAGAGCAGGAGGAGGCGGGGTCCGGAGCAGAGACGCCGCAGGAGGGGCTGGGGGGCCGGCGGCCCTGCAAGAGGAGAGGGGGTGCCGGGAGCTCAGTCAGGGTCGCGGGGGAGCCTGGCGCAGCTCCGGGGTCCCGGCAGGGGAACAGGCTAAGGCTGCTGAGAGACGAGGAGCAACGGAGAGGGTATGAAATCTGCGCAGCGGGCGACCCTGCCGAGCCCCAGGCCTCTGGAGGACGGAGAGCGAAGCGGAGCGCTGGGACCTGAGCCTCGACCCCCGCGAGCCCTGCGGTAGCGCTGGGTCTTTGCTGACACCTAGTGGCAAGACGGCGTCACTGCGGCCGGGGAACGTCCGAGCCGCAGCCGCCGCCGCCTAGGGGCATCGCTCCTCCCCACGCCACCCCCTCACCCCCCCACCCCCACTCCACCCCGCTCCCACCGAAGATAAAGAAGGGACTGTGGCCGTTCCCTGAATCACACCGGTCCTGGGCTGCGTGCAGGGAGATGAGTAGAACCCTCTAGGCCTGTCCCCTGTGAGCTGGAATCTGAGGGCCTCCCTCCTTCCCCACACTCCTCCTACCTCCGCCTGGCAAGGCAAAGAAGTTGTGGGGTGTCCTTATGCCGGCTCAGATCAGGGACAGATGTCTCAGCCCCACAGTGCACACACACGCACGGGGTGCAGGCCCCCCACCCCGTGTTGGCAAAGGAAGAGGGGGTTCCCTCCATGAGAAGCAGACAGCAACCTCATCTCCCCAGTTCCCGCACCCCTGAGTCCAATCTCCCCAGGGCCCTAGGAAGTAGGTGGCATGGCCAAGGTCAAGGGACTCAGAGAAGGGCACCTGTGTCCAGGAAAAGGACTCCAACCCCAAGTCCCGCACCGTACCCCCAAGAAGGCCCCTCAGTCCCTGCCCCCCATGTCAGAGACCCACACAGAACCAGGGGCTGCAGGCGCAGCAGGAGCACGGAGTGCTGGCACGTGTGTGTGTGTGTGGCTGACAGGTGCTGCTCACCTCTCCTGAGCTGATGGTGGTCACTCTCCTCATTGTCCAGGTGCTGGAGGTCTTGGTACTCCTTTGTCATTATAGCACTGGTGCTGGGCTGAGGCTGGGGCTGAACAGGGCTGGGGCTGGAGTTTGGGGTGCGGTCCCTCATCAAGTCCTAGCTCCATGCACACCTTTGTCCTGTCTTCCATCCCCTCCCAGGCCTGACACCCCCCCCCAATCCATCCTCTGATGTCTTCCCACCCAGCCCTCCCCCACCACCAAAGCCCCCCCCACACACACACCCCCACTGGCACCCTGCTTATCTTCCCGTTTTACTTGCTGAAGGTCTCGACGTCTGGCTCCTGGCTCCCTCAGTGGCGTGCAGATCCCAGGCTAAGGAGGGGCCAAAGCCTGGGCTGGGTGGACAGCCCTGGACAGTGGGAGAAAGGGGGCAGGATCCATACGAGGGCGCTGAACCCCAGCTCTGTGTCCCTGTGTCCCGGCATACAGAGCCTGGCATCTGCCGTGCCTGGGACTTTGAACGGTAAACAAAAGTAGAAATGGATTTGGAACTGGGATGGGGGTGGAGTAGGGTGAGTGGTCTCAGCTCCCTTCCCCAGGGAGAGGGAGTTTCCTAGCTGAACCCCACCCCTACCCCCCCCCCAACACACACACCAGTTACCTTGCTCCTCACTGCACCACTGGAGAGAAGGAGCCAGGCCCAGAGGAGCCGATTTTTACCCCCACCCCTCCCCCTTCACTTCCTGCCTGTGCAGTGCCCAGAACTGCTGGTGCCTCCAAACATTCCTGACCAGGATCAGAGGCAGCGGCTCCCTGCTCTTGCCCAATCTGGGCCTGTGACCCTGACACTGGAGCCACTGGTCCCAACTTCCTGTGAGGCCAAGCCAAGCCCCCAGCCTGGCCAGGGGGCGTGGTTCAGGAGAGGCAGGGAGCCTCTGCTGGGATCCAGGGATCCCATTTTGCAGGTGGGAAAGCTGAGGTCCTGACAGGTAAGAGCTTGCGCAGGGTCACACTCTATAAGAGGGCAGCACAGGGCAGCGAGGCACTGCAGCATCCAGCCCTGTGTGCTGCCCCTAGAACCACGAGGACCCCCAGCTGCGGACACGGCTGGGCCCTGGGTTCTAGAAATGCAGAACGTGGCTCCTTCTGGCCCCACGGGGGCCATCAGAGAGGGTTGTGTGATGCTAACTTGCAAACTGGGCGATATTCACCATGCTAACGTGGGCACGCCAGTGCTGCTTCACGAAGCCCTTTCAGTGAGCAGTTGTGGCTGTGAGATATTCCGCCACGTGGCCCGTGTGTAAAGTGTGGTGGCTCCTCTGTCTGGCTCCCCAGTACCCTCCTGCTATGTACACGCCCTGGGCCTGCGGCAGGATTTCGCGATCTCTGATAGGCTCCCTTACAACCTAGGTCATTCAAGCAGACCAACTGCGCCACTTCAGTCGGAAGAGCAGCGACCCTCATAGCCGTGGTGACTGGCAGGGAGCCGAAGGGGGGCTCCGGCGGTGATGGAATCTGTCATCTTAGCCTGGATGCTGCTTACACGGTGGTGTTCAGCTTGCAAAACAGCGGCCTGAGCTCCTGCCCTCTCACTGTTTCCCCCCAGGCTCACTGACTAGGGAGCAGCCACACCCTCCAAAGCCCGGGAGCTTCAGTAGGTCAGGGGCCAGGAATTTATAAGCAAGTCTTCTGCAACATACCAGGAGTAACACTTGAGGAAGCAAAAAGTAGCGAAAAGCTATGCTACAACAGTAACAGATTATGCACTCTGGGGACCTGTCTGCAGGTTCTGTTTATTCCTTTAAGAATATCTACCTTGAATTGTGCAAGATCTTCACGGGAGAAGTCTCGTGTGTGGGTTGTGCACCCTTGGGTAACAATGGACCACACGCTACGTGGCTTAAAGCAACATTCGTCTATCAGCTCGCAGCCTACAGGGCACCCGTCCAAGGAGAAGTCCAACTGTGATTGTCTGCTGAGGTCTCGCCAAGGCAGGGTCAGGAGCCGGCAGGACTGCATTCCTTTCTGGGGGCAGAGAACAACCCAGTTCCCAGCCCCTTCCCGGCACGGACGTGATTTCCCGGGTGGCTGAAAACCGCAGGCCACTCTTTGCTCCTGGGGGTCACTACAATCAGGTGGTTTTCTCCGCCTTCCAAGTCAGCAACAGCGCATCACCTCTCACCCACGCTCCAACTCCGACCACCTCTGAGCTTTTAAAAGGGGCTGTGTGATTAGATCGGGCCCACGCGTATAGACTGCCATCATCGGTGTGTATAACGCACGTACAGAGGCTGGCGCTGTGGTACAATGGGTAAAGCTGCCTCCTGCAGCGCCAGCATCCCATATGGGCACCAGTTCAAGCCCCAGCTGCTCCACTTCCAATCCAGCTCCCTGCTAATGTGACTGGGAAAGCACTGGCAGATCGCCCAAGTGTTTGGTCCCCTGCACCCATGTGGGAGACCCGGAAGAAGCTCCTGGTTCCTGGCTTCCGCCTGGCCCCGTCCTGGCCATTGCAGCCATCTGGGAAGTGTACCAGTGGATGGAAGATCTCTCTTTTTCTGTCTCTGCAACTCTTTAAAAAATATATATTTTTAAAAAAATATGTGAGGGGGCTGGCGCCGAGGCTCACTTGGCTAATCTCCCGCCTGCAGCACCAGCATCCCATATGGGTGCCAGATTCTGTCCCGTTTGCTCCTCTTCCAGTCCAGCTCTGCTGTGGCCTGGGAGGGCACTGGAGGATGGCCCAAGTGCTTGGGCCCCTGCACCCGCATGGGAGACCATCAAGAAGCACATGGCTCCTGGTTTCGGATTGGTGCAGCGCCGGCTGTAGCGGCTGTTTGGGGAGTGAACCAACAGAAGGAAGACCTTTCTCTGTCTCTCTCACTGTCTATAACTCTACCTGTCAAATAAATAAATGCAGGGCCAGCGCCATGGCGCAGCAGGTTAATCCTCTGCCTGTGGCACCAGCATCCCATCTGGGCGCCAGTTCTAGTCCTGGCTGCTCCTCTTCCAATCCAGCTCTCTGCTATGGCCTGGCATAGCAGTAGAAGATGGCCCAAGTCCTTGGGCCCCTGCACTCATGTGGGAGACCCAGAAGAAGCTCCTGGCTCCTGGCTTTGGAAAGGCCTAGCTCGGCCATCATGGCCATTTGGGGAGTGAACCAGCAGATGAAACCCCCACACCCCACCTCTTCCTCTCTATAACTCTCTCTGCCTTTCGAATAAATAAATCTTTTTTAAAAAACACACACACACGCATACGTGCGGGTCATCTGTATGTACAGCTTCATGTATGTACACATATGGTCATAAATAAGGTTAGCGCTGCTAAATAGCATTACCCTGAGAGTGCCAGCTTACCCTAGTCAGGGCTCCAGAACCAGGTGTGGCACCTGGGAGGGGAAGGGCTGCTTTTCTAATTAATTATTTGAGAGGCAGATTGACAGAGAGGGAGGGAAAAGATAGAAAAAGAGAGACATCTTCCATCCACCACAGCAACCGGGGCTGGGCCAGGTCAAAGCCAGGAGCCTGAACTCCGTCCAGGTCTCCCACACGGGTGGCAGGGACCCAAGGACTTGCGTCATCTGCCACTGCCCACCCACGCACATTCACCGGAGCAGCCGGGACGCACACCAGCACCCCGCTCCAGGAGGGGGGCACCCCCAGTGGTATCTTAACCACCGCATCAAATGCCGGCCCTGCACATGCTGGTTTTGAATTCTTTGTCTTTCCATTTCTATTTCGAGATATAACAGGTACATACTGGATTTCTACAGCCGCACGTGTGTATCAGTTATCTACTGCTGCAAAACAGTGACCCTGGAGCTCAGAAACCAGGAACAGTGGCTGCTGGTGCCCTGGCTCCGTTTCTGAAGGCGGGGAGTCTGGGTGCAGCCCAGTGGGTGGGCGCTAACTCGGGCTCTCCCTGAGGGTGCAGTGGGTCGGGAGTCTGGGTGCAGCCCAGCGGGTGGGCGCTGACTCGGGCTCTCCCTGAGGGTGCAGTGGGTCAGGAGTCTGGGTGCAGCCCAGCAGGTGGGCGCTGACTTGGGCTCTCCCCGAGGGTGCAGTGGGTCAGGAGTCTGGGTGCAGCCCAGCAGGTGGGCGCTGACTCGGACTCTCCCCGAGGGTGCAGTGGAAGGCTGAATGCCCAGGGCCTGTGTGCCGGTGCCTGGTGGGCGGCCTCAGGTGCTCACCACGTGGCCTCTGCCTAGGGCTGCCTGAGCACCCTCACAGCATGGCAGCTGGCTCCCCCCGACTCCCCCCTGCCCCTAGTAACCCAAGAGCACAGTGTCTTGCAGCCTGGCTTCAGTCACGAGCCATGTTTTCCACACTGGCCTACAGTGAGCCCTCCTCACCGGGGAAGGGGGCTGAGTGGAGAGGTGAGACTCACTGGGGCCACCCTGAAGACCGGACACAACACCCAAGGACCAGACAAGCAGGTAGGCAGTAGGGAGTGGGCATTTGACAATGGTCAAGACGTTGCTTGGGAAGCCCGCAGTCCGTATCAGAGTGACCAGGTTCAAGTCCTCTGTTCCCAATTCCAGTGTCCTGCTAAGGCAATGGCTCAAGTGCATGGGCCCCTGCCGCCCACGTGGGAGACCCAGATGGAGTTCCAGGCTCCTGACTTCCGTCTGGCCCAGCCCCAGCCCTTGCAGCCATTTGAGGAGTGAGGCTCTCTGCCTCTGCCTCTTGTGTTTCTCCCTTTCTCTCTGTAGCTCTGCCTTTCAAATAAACAAATCTTAAAAAACAAAGAAATCCACTGAATCAACTAGCCCTTGTAAAGGTCTCTGCAGCTCAGCGCCAAGCACAGCTCCGTGAACACGAACAAAGCAAGCTTCCTCTACACACACAGGCCCCCAGCTTCTCAGAGTGTGACTTACGGCTTTCCACTTTACCGTGGCGCGGAGGTCACTTGCTTTCAGTAAAAACTGTCCTTTGAATTGTGAATTGGATTTTTTCCCCGGCTAGCGATGTGCCGTGAGATGCTGTCTTGCGCAACGCTGGGCGGTGGCAGAGAGCCACAGCTCCCAGCCAGCCGCGTGGGTCAGCCTCACTGTAACACAGACTGGTGTCGGGTGACCTTGCCCAGTGCAAGCTCACGGAAGTGCCCAGAGCACGCTGGAGGGAGACTGGGCTACACTGTTGGGCGCGTAAGGTGCCCCGAAGGCACATGCATTTACCATACCTTCAACCGATGGTGGGTTTCCAAGGACAGGACCCCTCTGTATGGCAAGGAGCACCTGTCTGTTCCTTTGGGAACTGCTGTGCTGCCCAGCAGGCCTGAGGCAGCCCAGGCAGTGAGCTGGGCCTCCCCCTCAGAGTCGAGCAGTGACGCTGGACAGAGCCCCCAGCCTTCCCTGGCCCCGGTCCTCACCAACTCGGGCTCCCTGCCTTGCTGGCTCCCTTCAAGGACCCCGTAATCTCTCGGGGTTGGGGAAACATCCTATCCCTGCGCCCCCACCTTGTCTCCCTCCACGCCCGGGTCCCAAATAATCAGGCCACACACTGGAGTTTCAAGTATCTGTCTCTTCCTTTCACTCTCTCAAAAGAAAAAATAAATAAATCGCAGAAGGCGGCAGCATTTCCAGTCTTCCCCTGGCTCCCGGACACCCAACCCCGACCCCTGCCCCCCGCCCTCCCTCCCACAGTCCCCACTCCCCAGACCCATCCCCCCCTTTCCCCCAAAAGAAAAAAAAAATCCCAGGAAAAAAAAAAAAAGCCACAGTTAGACCTTCCACTCATGCAAACCGGCAAAGAAAACAGGTGGGGGTGTGTGGAAGGCAGGGGGCCCAGAGGGGAGTCCCCTACTTAT